TCCCCACCCCACATGTATGGCAGCAGAAGCCCCCCTGCCAATCCTTATGCTGCTTATTCACCCGAGCCGGCACCACCGGCACCATACCCGGCTGCTCCCATGAACTATCCTGCATATGGTGGCTATGGAAATGTTTTGGCACCCACTTATCAGCAGGCTTACTACCGATAGAAATGACAACCCTTGAAGATGGTAACCACTGATATGACGACCTTGATCCAATTTACTTTCGCAATGTTGTTTGTAATCACTAACCGTTTAACGGTAGCAGTTCTGTGTGTTAATTATAACTACTGTCCCACTTCCTGCTCTGCATGGGGAGAAGTTGTATTTCTAATGTTGATCCCATAGTACTAGGTGATTGTGGAAAGTAACTAGGACGGCCAAGAAACATCAGAAACTCAACTACCACTGTTCGGTTTAGTTGTAGAAAGACTTACTGTGTTTACATTATATGCTTATCTTGGGATCCAACTGAAGGAAAAAAAAAAAAAAAAGAAAGGTAATCTATTTCTTGGCAGCTGTTGACTATGGTATAAAAGGCTATAAAGGAAATAATTTTGTCCGAGATGAATGCGGTTCTGCATTTTCGCAATACCGGACTATGGTGTTTGTTAGTATTGCATTCAACCGTAGTATGTTGTTACATTTCCTTTTGTAGCATTCTTCCAAAGAATAATTCTTAATCTTTTTACAAAACATTATCGTGAATCCCATTATTTCCTTTGATGCATGAAGTATTATTGTTTTTCTTATGTTTATAAGATGTTAAACTTGTATTTTTTTTATATTTAATATCTTTTTATAAAATGTTAGGAAGACTAACGACAATTGTGTTAGAAACATTAGCTAGAGGATTTTTATTTTTTTGACGAATACATTAACGAGAGGATAATGTAGGAAGAATAACGATTTCTTTTTTCTTCCCCATAATACAAGATGATGAGAGAAAAGAAATGCGAGTAGAAGAACAGGCTGAGAGTGAAAGTTTGGAGAATCTTGCCAGGTAATCCAGTTTGGGGGTGTGCACCATGGTTTGGTATAACAGTATTTCTGTTGGGACAAAAAGAACATGAAGGAAACTAATGAATGGCAATTATGTATCTCTGAATATTATGAAAAAGTATTTACACTGCTTAACAAGCTGGGCGCAAAAACCCATAAAAAGCAGTCTGAAGTCCGAACACAGGGTTGTTGCGAAGACCACTATGGAGGCAGGGAATCTTTGATGATTACCCATAAAAAGAAGGAAGAAAGCATTCGGGACATAGGCTTGTTTCAGTTTCAAAGACCACTACGGAGGCAGGGAATCTTTCATCCGTGGTTCAGCATTCGCACACCAAACTGTGATATCTGTTAGTTCTGCATTAATTCAACCATAGTACTTCGTTACATTCCTTGTGACATTCTTCCAAAGAATAATTCTAAATCTGTTAACAACATATTTTCTAATCCTCTTATTTACCAAATATAGAAAGTATTAATGTTTTTAACATAAATATTTTTAATATACACTTTCTTATAAAACGTTAGGGAGATTAAGTATTGAGAAGATAATGTTGGAAGAATAGCATTAACTTCTCTTTTGGCCCAAAATATAAGATGATAAGAGAAAAGAGTGCGAGTAAACCAGGCCTAGGATACAAGTTAGGGGAATATTGCCAAGTAATTCAGTTTGTGCAATATTGTTTCTGTTTCTGGAAATAAAGATGAAGGATAGAAATTGCAATTATGAATCCCTGAAGATTAGGGAAAAAGTATTGACACTACTCAACAACCCATGAAAAGTAGGAAGAAAGCACACAGAAGATAGGTGGTTGTAAAGAAGACCACATGGAGGCAGGGAATCTTTTTTCACATGTTAAGCCAACTACACAGTCGAGTTACAACTTGCAACTCCACTTTTCCTATCACTCTTACTTTGGATTACTTTGAGTTTACATTCGTAATTTCCTTGAGGACGTACATTACTCAAAGTCTTCAACGACGATTCCCATTAACATTTAGGAAGGGTAACTCATTTTATACTTGTACCTGTCTAAAGGTACACTCGTAATCTTCTGGTAACTGGGGGGCCGAACGGGAGTTGCGGGCGGATGCTTCAGAGGGGAAAGATACCTGTAAAAGGTACTCCGACGTTCAAGTCAGGACAAACACGATTCTCGAGAATAATAAATGAACAGTAACATACCTTATTTTACGTAACCTATTTATACTACCTGTAATGGACCCTGAACGTAGTGGGCCTCTTCTGGCACTTACCAAATTAGGTAATACGGTGCTAATTGGTTGATTATGCCTTAATCGCACGTTTGTCCTTGTTAATCGTGATCATCGTCTTAATTGCTATCTGGCTCTATAGACCTCTGGCCGAGCCGATAGATAAGGGTTAGGGTTGTCCTTCGTTCTCGGCCTTTGGCCGAGCCGATATATAGAGAGTTGGGTTGTCCTTCATTCTCGACCTTTCACCAAGCCGAGGAGGTGTCCAGGGATAGAGCCCATTATGCTGTCTTGATGTTTGGTCTTACCGGTCGCCGACCGTGCCGAGAGTGTGTGTGATTGGGGTTCCCTCTCGGTTTCGGCCATTTGCCAAGCCGAGAGGTTGGTAAGAGGATTAACTAATAACACTACCCTAGCTGAGTCATTGATGGCCTTGTAGGTTTGTTATTACGGCTATAGCCGTGTCAGAAATCCGTATCGGTGGCTAATAAGATATCACGTATCGATCCACGTGACCGATACTAACCCCTCCGGTACAATACTAACTTGTGATTATTCAGGTAGCCTTCATCTTTTATCCTTGTTCTCTGATGTTAACCATCATTTGAAAGGATGTGATATTGAGTTTTGTGGATTATGTGTCTGCATGACATGATTACCATATTCTTTACGTCAGGAAGTGAGTGATTGGTGAATCCCTTGAGGGTGAAGTGGTGGCTTTTGTTTTGAGATAATCGTGGCAACATATCTATAAATTTGAGCACAGTTCCAAGAATATAATTCGGAATTCCGAAGAATTAAAGAAGAACGAAAAGAAAAGAAAATGTTGAGGAGATAAAAAAACAAGTCCAATGTGACTTCCAGCGACGTTGATGAAGTCACAAGTAAAAGCGAAATATCTATCCTATCCTGCTATATACGAAATCAATGACACTACTTTTGTGAATAAGACGCAGACTTGGCATGGCAGGGTACTACTACTTTTTACTTGCCAAAGGCTCCTTATAATGAACCATTTTGGTTGGACATTTACTTGCATTATTGTCCATAGGGAGGGAAAATAGCAAGCTTGATGCCGCATTCCGTTTAGCTTAGCTAGCTTTTAAGGTTGTTAGTAAGAGCAATTTGGTTCACTTGGGGACACGTAATTTACACTCCAAGGAAAGAAGGAAAACTGGGGCGGAAGCTTCAAAATTCAGATTGTTTTTCAATACATCATTGATAGTGCCTTTAATGTGAAGGTAGAGAGTAGAGACTAAGCAAAGAAAACCCAAGAAGGATAATATATGAACCAAGCACGTTGCATGAAATTCAAGTACTTGAACGGTGGATATTCACATGAAAAGCCTAGAGCTAAGATTTTAAATATTTCTCAACGGTGAACACAACCAATTTGGATTTCACCCTTGTTTAATATATTTGAATAGCGTTCAGTCAGTTAATTTTGCATGAAATGACACACATTATCCATATTTTGTCGATTGTTTTTGCCAATAGGTGACATACCATTTAATTTTGATCAAAATTTGTTGTGTCTGTGCAAATGAAGCCTGTTTTTTTGGTTCATCAAGTCATACCTTCTACTTCATCCATAAATGAAAAAACAATACGAGTTATGGGAATGGGAATATATATTAAAAATAAACAAAGACAAGCAGGAATTGCATAGCCACGTTCCACCACGTCGTGCTCAACCTCCGTACTGTCTTGATCAAAAGAAATGGGGAATGTCTATGTTTATAAACCGGTACAATCAGTGATCTAGCGACTCACTATCTTAATCAAGTCGAATATCGGTTTAATTCTGATGACACCGAAAGAAACAAAAGGAAGAATTTTCCAAACCTCATACTTCAAGTAACGTGTGTGACACAAAACTAAAGTCAACAAGATGACATTATGGATTAAGTTAAGTAGACTAAAACACCAATATGAAAGTTACATGTCAAGAAGACAACGTATAGAAATAGAAAAGATTTACATTGTCGAAATAGAAAACACATTGCAACAGTTGCCTTTTTTATTATTCCTTATTTAAATTAATTTAAGTTATTCATAGATAATTAAGTGGTTTAGAACTACTCACTGTACATTGTAACTTACTATTTTATCCTTTGTCTTATGTGGTTTACAGAATAAGATAATTAATTATACTAATCCCAACTAACAGGTAGTTTTCTCTAAAGTGGCCAAGTCATTTCTTACCAAATTGGTTAACAATTTTTTTAAGACTAAAAGCGAATTTGAAATAAATTAGAGAGATGAAAAAATATCTTATCAGAAGAAATATTCAACAATTTATAATTTTATAGTAACATGACCGCGCTATGGGATAGGCTGCCACAACTCCAAACTAGGGTTATAGTTCCGTTAAAAATATTCAAGACATCTCAATAAAATTTAATGAAATAAAAAAATGAATCTTCTTCGGTGAAGGTCGATGTTTATGTTTGTGGCTTTTTCCGCCCCGTTGGCATATATCATGATGTGTTTGCATTTAACTGTATGCTTTGTTCTGTGGTACCAAAAATAAATGGAATTAATAGAAAGTAAGCGAGTTAATGCATTTAAATTAGAAAGATAGTATATCAATACCGTCCAAATACATTAATGTATTTTCCTGCTTTTTGGTTCTCTATAATAGTCGATCAAAATAAAAAAAAAATAAAAAAAAATTGTAAATGCTCTTTGTATCCATTCCAAGGCTAGAGAATCTATTCTTGCATGCATCACAGCCAGCTACGTTTGACTATATGCTTAAGAAATAACGGTGTCATCTTTTGAAACTTATGAGGACGAAAAGTTGGCTATGTACAAAATCTGTCGACCGGCATCAACTGGTGTAGCAAAATTTCCACAAACAAGACAAATAACATCTCTATTAAATACAGTAAGGTTTATTCTTAAATCACACACACACGCTAGGCTTGTGCTATAGTCATTGCTAAAGGTGATTGACTCTTCTTTCTCTCCAATCTTTTCCAATCAGTTAGGCTTAAATCACTCGAGGTTCTTACTACACAAATTCGTTATTAAAATTCGTACCAAACATCATTTCTTGCTACTAATAAAATATAACTGAAGTTATATATCTATATGAAAAAGATGAAACTTTTTTATTTTTAATTTTTGTAATCTTTCCAACTCCAACCGTATGGTTCCCGAGAAAGGTGGTGTTCATTAAGTTATAGGATATGGCAGTTGTTCTTGTGGACCCAATTGAATTTTGAAGAGGTTTGAGTTTTTAAGGCTAATAGTAATCGCCAAAATCAAACTTAAACTTGGTGGATTTCATATTTTAGAAATAGATCAGATTCCGTTCCATTTATATTTTATAGTTTAGACTACATAAAATTGATAGTTTTGGGAATTAAGGCACATTTGGATGCTAATATATATTTTTCGCTGTTTTCTAGCCTTGAAGTGAGTTGATATCATGGCAGTTGAGAAGGCTGGAATTGCAAAAGATGTTACGGAAGTGAGTTTCTGCACTTTCTATGGATTTTTTTTTATGTGTTGTTGTTCTATTTCAGTTTTTCTTGCTAGAATACATGCTGATGCCTATTGTTTATTTTATGAAGTTGATTGGCAAAACCCCATTAGTATATCTGAATAAAATCACGGATGATTCTGTTGCTCGGGTTGCTGCCAAACTGGAATTGATGGAACCATGCTCTAGTGTAAAAGACAGGTAATGTTTTTTTGGTTACTTCCATCCTTGCTTCTATCTATTATTTGAGTTTTGGGTCTTGCTTTTTACATGTTTTGGTGTTACTTAGTGATTTTGTTCCTATGCTTACTTTATAAATGTAGGATTGCCTATAGTATGATTACTGATGCAGAGGAGAAGGGACTTATCACACCTGGACAGGTTAGTACAAAGAAATTGCCTAGGATTGGGCATCAATAGGGAAGCTTCTAATAATTTCATAAAGATCTTATTCAGATTAGTAAAACTGCATTTTATTGTCAGGTGTTTAACTGTAATTTATACAATTACCACAAATAACTTTTCGTGTGTAGTTGATGAAACTTGGTGACTTTACGAGAGCCGTCAAAATTGGTTGAGTTAGCCTATTAACGTAACTAGTTAGTCATATTAGACTTTTTACTTTTAGGACTAAAAAAGTCTCAATAATAGTTAAGTTTAAAGGTATCAAATTTATTTAATCAATTAGTTTTTACATATTAAATTATTAAAAAAAATAAAGGGATTTAATTTGACTTAGTCCGACAAGTCAAAGATCAAACCAATAAAAAAAAATAAAGTCAGATTAAGTTAGACTTTCTCATTTTCAACTTAAAAAATGAACTTCATGTAAATTTCATAGCAGCTATTAAATTTTAGGTGAATAATGCACTGTTATGTTAGTTTCTGCTACAACTTTTGTGTATAAATACTAAGGAAGTAAACATGTGAAAAAAAAAATAGAAAAAATTGTTGATATAAACTTGATGCATCCCTGAGTTCACAAGTATCGTTTCTGTTGCATGTTGGTTATCTTATTTTACTGAAGAGTGTCCTCATTGAGCCAACAAGTGGTAATACTGGCATTGGATTAGCATTCCTGGCAGCAGCCAAGGGTTACAAGCTCATAATTACAATGCCTGCTTCAATGAGTCTTGAAAGAAGAATCATTCTTCTGTCTTTTGGAGCTGAGTTGGTTCTCACAGATCCAGCAAAGGGAATAAATGGGGCACTTCAGAAAGCTGAAGAGATATTAGCTAAGACTCCCAATGCCTATATACTTCAGCAATTTGAAAACCCTTCCAATCCTAAGGTAACCATTACAAATTTGTTCTGTAACTATAGCCGTGGATGCTTCACAACTTGGGTGATACATTTTGTCGGCATTGTATTTGTAGGTACATTATGAAACAACTGGTCCAGAGATATGGGAGGGCACAGGAGGGAAAGTTGATGCACTTGTTAGTGGTATAGGTACAGGTGGTACCATAACGGGTGCAGGGAAATTTCTTAAAGAGCAGAATCCTAATATAAAGGTTAGTTTTTAAATTTGTATGTGTTTAAATATTATTTAAGGGATGTGCATGTAATTTTTCCTGAGAATGGAGAGATATATTTTGATTCTGGTTTACAGCTGTAGCGATCCCCCCTCTCATTGTTTTTATTTATTTATATAATTATTTATTTTCCTGCAGCTGTATGGTGTGGAACCAGTTGAAAGTGCAGTACTCTCTGGAGGAAAACCTGGTGAGTTATAAAAACATGCTTTGCTCCACTGTGATAATATACTCTTTTTGAATACTTTTTCACATGAACCATAAAAAATTAAAAATGTTGCATGACAAGTAGATTTTTATTTAGTTTTCTACTTATTCAATTATTAGGTGATTGTTTTACTTTGCCATGTTGCTAGTTTGTTAACATTAAAGAAGTGATTCTATCGGAATTGTTATATCCTTTCCAGTCGTCCAGGAATGACTGTTATTTGTCTTGCTCTGCTTGATCATGTTATTAAAGGGTGATTGTCACAAGCTTTATTTTGTTAGTGGGGTATTGATTGTATCTATCCTTGTGAATTTTCACCTCTTTGACCAAACCAGGATGACTTTTGGTGATGCGGAAAAACCTTGAGTACTCTTTCAGGGCAGAGTACTAGCCTGACTAGTATTTCAGAATTCAGATGCTCTTTGGGAAGAAAATTTTACTGTTATACTATGCCAAAGGTCTGAGTAACATAATCAAAAGGGTTCTTATAAACCCAAGACAATCAAAATGCCACATAAACCATAATCAACTATAAAATCCTAATTAAATCAAAGAAAAAAGTCTTAACATGATAAGCATAATGGAAAAAAAAAACTCTTAAATAACCCCTAAATAAGAAAACAATCCTTAAGTATGTTTTTCCATTCTTCAGCACTTGGACTATCACATGCTAAAGTCAAGCACGTAAAGTTGATGCAACAGTGATTATACCATCTTTTCTTCATCTTAAAATTATCACTTTAAATTATGTTTGTTCCTGTTTGTTTTCTCTTCAATGGTTACTATATTTTGAATGGTTTCTTTGTAATATAACCATAGAGTTGTGATAAGAACATGCTCTTTAAGCTGTTGCTGATGAGCAGATTGCCATTGTGAACATCTAGGTCCACACAAGATTCAAGGGATTGGTGCTGGTTTTGTCCCTGGAGTATTGGAAGTTAGCCTTTTAGATGAAGTAGTTCAAGTAAGCTTTTAACGCTTTTTTATTAGTCGTCATATTTTTCAGGACTTCACAGAATTATACATAATGAAATATTATGACCTTATTCTAAAGTTGTTTTGAAATGCAATGTGAAGTTTTTTTTTGGAAACAATGTAATAGCTGCTGTGTTTATGGTTATTGCATCCAATCATCTACAAATGATTTGAAATTCTTGTATGGGTTTGATACTGTAGTTTCTTGTTTTAATATCAACTTGGTGATATTGATACATTGTGTTTGTGTCTACTTTGACTTGAGCAAAGCCGCTTTTTGCTACTAATTAAGCATGTCCAGTATAGGTACATATTCTTTGTTATTATTTTTTGGTACAAGAACAATGCTGCAAGGAACTATGGTGCAGATTCGGTTAATTTCGGCTATACACGTGTCCTACATTAAGTATTACGGTTCTCTCCTTCCATGCACAAGTCCCGACTTTTGGGACGAAGTTTCATTTTGTGGGGAAACGGCAAATCACCAATTGTGAACAATGAATGGCACCTTAAGTCAAGCAAGACTTTGTATTATTTTTTGCAAGAAGAGAATGTTGGATGCCTTGAGGACTAGAAATCAGTACCTATTATGGACAACATTCTATGTGGATTTAATTATTAATAAGATAACGATTTTGTCATTATGTTGCAGTTTTTGTTTGGACATTCGTAACAGTTTAAGATTTGTTAAAATTTGGATTTGTGATTTGGCAGATATCAAGTGATGAAGCAATAGAAACTGCAAAGCTTCTTGCACTTAAAGAAGGACTATTTGTAAGTTCAAAATCTCTTGAATCACCCATATTTGAGATTATGTCATTCTTTTTATACCCGTATGATGTATTGAACCTATATTTATCGCTGTAGGTTGGAATTTCATCTGGAGCAGCAGCTGCAGCTGCCATTAAGATAGCAAAAAGACCAGAAAATGCTGGAAAGCTTATTGTCGTAAGTTGATCGCTTCAGACAAACTTTGGTCTAAGTGTCTTGAAATGTCAGTTGAGAAATTGCAACGTTGTGTCGTAGTCCCATGTTTTTGTTATTTTTTTTCTCCTGTTTGATTAGGTTTTGATAGATTCCAAGCGAGATTATAGGCCACGATCATTATGTTACAATTAGAAGGTTCACTTAGTTGACAGATTCGTTTTCATTTGGTGCAGGTTATTTTTCCAAGCTTTGGTGAGAGGTACCTGTCCACTGTGCTGTTTGACTCAGTCAGACATGAAGCTGAAAGCCTGACTTTTGAATCCTGAATTCCACTTGAAGGCTCTAAGCTACATCATTACTGATTTCAGGTGCTGTATTTTAACTGGGAAACCAGTGATCCTTGTAATAAAGTTTGTGATTCTCAAATAAACATTACATCAAAAGAAAAGAAAGGAAAAACTCTCAAATTAACATTAAAGTTTAATTTTGTATGGGGAAAAAATTAAGTATTAGGTGATACCAAAACAGCACGAGACGTAACCGCTTTGGTATTTAATCACAATGCTCTGCTCCCAAAATCAGATTGTGACTGATTGTCTAGTTTGACAAGCATCATGAAATGGTCCAAACTCCCTTAAGCATCAAAACAAGTTTGTGCACTTCCCTGATGATTAATTCCAGAGTAACAATACAGTCTTAGAAAAAAAAAATTCCAAATCACAAATATTAAAATATTAATATTTTTTAATAAATTTATTATAAAATAATTATTTAATTTAATATTTTATAATTTAAATTATTATTTTAATTATTCAAAATGCTTTTCGGAATTTCCTTTCAGACATTCTATCTTTTTTTTTTAATTCCAATGTGTATAATTTGAAGATACCACTCCACAACCCCATTTTGGCCGCCGAAGCATATACTATAATGTTCTCTTTTATAAGGAAAAAACACATTTTGTTTTCAAATATAAACAAATTCTAATTACTATTACTTGATAATCTTCTTAAAATTATTTTCTTTTAATGCCCAACCCTTTGGCTGCACCACTTTATGAAAATTTATAATAAGATCAATTTAAGAAAAATAGTATAAGATTAGTAAAATTTAATGTCCTTCACTGATTTTTTAATATGTGTGAGATCAATTTTTTATTATTTATAAAAAGAACAGAGGGAGTAGTATACATGTGTACAATGAAGATACCTCGTGTGTAATGCACAGGCATACGTTTGTGCGAGACCAAACTGCATAGTCCATAGATTTTCATTGTCCACACTAGCTTTTAATTGACCTTGATACGGCTCTACAGTAAGACCATGGCAGCTGTAATAATCCCCCATAAAACACTTTCCACACACAGAAGATGAATACCTAGCAACCCACTCACCCCAGCACGGCAGCCCCCAAATTAAGATATGACCCGAACCACACCAAAATATATACCGAGTCACTATTTATAGTGACATTGATGACAATCAGATGAATTTTTGCGACTATTTGTCTGCCTCAACCACCAAAAATTATGTAATGCCCCCCGTCCAAGGCATAAGATCCCAGTTCATATCAAGTTACCAACTACAGTACCGTACATACTGAAACCAAATCAACCTGTCAGTTGTCACATACATAAATCACCCTGTACTCCCTGAACCCCTTTTTGTCGAATTCCCCCGAATAAACAACCTGAACATTAATAAGCACCAATGCAGAATGACCATACCTGAAGAATGGTACATCAGCCCCCAAACTCCTGCACAGATATTAGTCAATGATAGATGCCCGACAGTAACAATCGATCAGCATACACCTCCAACAACATGGGTAAAGAGAACGTAAACCTGACGTGTTGCTTACATCCTCATTGCTTACAACAACATATCCTTTGAGGCATATGAAACAAATAAATAATGGAAGAATGGAACTATTACCAATAGTCTTTACAAGAGCACCAACCATCCTTAAAGCGATGAAAACGATTATTATCTCTCACAATAATTTCTCTTCCAACGATTTTTGAGATGAACTTAATGGCACTATGGCAATCTCCACAAATCCTAAGATTTTTTGTTATACGTATGGGCACTCCATGAGGGAGAGCAATGAGGCCAAAAGCTAGAGCAATCTTCTCACTGTGGTACCACACTTCTGAAGCCTTTTCTTCTTCTTCTAAATCAAAGAGCGATAGATTGGTATCAGGAACATACCCAGCTTTCTTCATCTCCCATCTGAGTTTTGCTAGCATTGCTTGAATTTCAGAGTTCTTTTCATGAGAACTATCCTTTGCTTGGAAAACATGGACTCTATTCTTTACAGCAACCCAACTATAACCAACGTTTTTTTTAATACCAATATCTCTCATTTCCTTCCTAACAATAGTGGCTTCTTCCCATCTGCATTTAGCAACTACAAGCATGAGCAACAATGCTATAAACAATGTTGAATCAGAAGGAAGAGTCGGTAGTAGGTTTAGCTAAATATGTTAAAGCAACAGCCGAAAAATGAAAATAACAAGTGTCCTATCCCACTAGATGCAAAAATATGAAAAAGGAAGAAAACTCTGTGATCTAATTAGGATGTGGCAGGTTATTCTACCAATATAAAATGAACAATTCAATTAACTTATCAATCTTATTAAAGAAGAAAAACTAGCCAGCATGGTCTTGAACTATTACCTGCCAGCAGAAGCAAGCATGTTAGAAAACACTACATGATTGCCAGAGTCATCAGGATCAAGCTCAAATAATTTTTCGGCTGCAATTTTCCCCAACTTTGTTTTCCCGTGCATCCTACATGCCGCCAGTAGAGCCCCCCACACAGGTATAGTTGGAAGAATTGGCATTCTTTTTATAAATTCATACGCACGATCTACCAAACCAGATCTCCCAAGCAGATCAACCACGCATGCATAATGCTCGGCACCTGGTTCAATTCCATATCTCCCTCTCATGGATTCAAATATCTGCAAGCCTCTTTCCACTGCCCCTGCCCTACTACATGCCGACAACACCGAAACTAGTGTTACATAACTCGGAGCTATACCACAGCTGCCCAACGTCATTTCCTCAAACAGACTCAAAGCCATGTCAACATCACCCAGATGAGCATATCCACCTATCATTGCATTCCAAGTGACAAGGTTCCTCTCAGGCATTTCACTAAAGACTTGCTCCGCATTTTCTATGCTTCCACATTTTCCATACATGTCAACAAGCGCACTCCCAACAAATATATTCTCCTCGACACATGCTTTAACAGCAAGAGCATGAACTGACCTGCCCAATTCAAGCCCTCCAAGCTCAGCACAGGCACTGAGAACACTCGATATCATGAAATCCGTGGGCTCAACTTCCTTCCTCGCCTGAAGGAAGACCATACACGCCCTCTCTTCCTCGTGGTTCTGCACAAGAGTAGCAAGCATGGAGCCCCAAGAAACAACATTCCTCCTATCAATTCTATCAAAAACCATTTCAGAAGATGCAATGTCCCCACATTTTCCATAAAAATCAATAAGCCCATTGGCAACAGAAACATCCTCCCTGCACCGGCCCCGAACTACAAAGCCATGCAACTGACGCCCAAGCTCCAAACTCACCATGTCAGCACACGCATTGAGAAATGCACAAAATGTTATCGCATTCGGCTCTCCCTCGACACAAAGAAACTTCTTAAACGCAACAATAGCATCCATACAGCGGCCATCCTGAACTGCATTGGAAATATACGCGTTCCACGTGGCCAAGTTCCGGTGCGGCATTTCATCGAACATGTTGCGAGCCTCGCGTCGAAGGCCGGTTTTGCTGTACATGTCGAAGGCGCTGCATCCCACAAAGACGTCGAATATTTGGCCACCCTTGAAGGCGAAGGCGTGAAGCTGTTTTCCAGTGAGGGGCATGTGCAGCGAAGCGGAGGCTTTGAAGGCGCAGGGAAAGGTGAAGTCGTTAGGGGGAACAGAGTCGCGACGCATGTTAGAGAAGTGGAGGAGGGCGGAGGCGAAGCGACGGTTGCGGACGCAGCCGGAGATGAGAGAGGTCCAAGTGACGACGGTGCGAGGGTTGGTGAGCGAGAGAACGAGTTGAGCTGAGTTGAGAAGGTCGAGTTTGGAGTAGGTGTTGACGAGGTGGTTGCAGAGGAAGGAGGGGAGAGGGGGGTCATGGGTTTTGAGGATCAGCGCGTGGACGGCACGTGCGAGGAGGGGAGAGTGAGTTGAAAGAGCTGACTCGAGCAGAGAAGCGAGCAGGTTTGGGTTTGGAGGAAGCACGTTCATCGGATGTTCCGCAAATATTACAGTTACGTATAAGGAGTGGCGCTTCAAGACACCCAGAGCTCCAACCAAACCAATGCTCACATTCTTCGCGCCGGAGAAGCCTTTCAAAACATTTACTTGGGCTAAAATTCTACATAGAAATACCGGCCCAACTTTTAAAATCCATTGGACAAATAAAAAAAAGTTATATATTTACACTTTCATCTCTTATAATATTAAATTTTAAATTTTGTAGCTTTAATTTCTTTTTTCATAAAATTTATTTTTGTTTTACCACTAATTCATCTTTTAACCGTTAAAGTTATAATTTGATCTTAAATAGTCTTAGGGCTAGCTATCCCACCCTTTTAAGTGCCTCCAACGTAGTAAGGAGATTAATCACTACTATCGGTGGTGGATACTCCAGGGACAAACAAAAAAAAATGATCTTAAATAGATGATATAAAACTAATATTTAATCTAAATTATATTTTTAATAATCATATTATATTAAAATAAGGCAAATGTAATTGATGCTGCAAATCTTTCACCAACAGTACTGGACTTGTCAATAGAAAATTTTGAATTAGAATTATTAGACTTGTTAGATTTTTTAGTTATGATCAATGCTAAAATCTTGCATTGGTCAATATTGCAAATCTTGTTCCGACACAATTAGACTTACTAGAAGCACATCTTGAGTCGACGTTGTTAGACTTATTTGATTTACTAGTTGTTATCATTGACAAAAATCTTGCATTGGTTGATGTTGCAAATCTTGAGTTGGTCCTGTTAGACTTGTAAGACTTCTTAATCACGATCGATGCCAAAATCTTGCACCAATACACTTAAAGTTGTTAAAAATAATATTGAGTTAGTGTTATTATTAGAATTCATAGTTGTGGCTAATGAAGGAAATCTTGCATTGAACACATTGACACCATTAAACTAGTCGAACTTCCTAGTTGCAACTCATGGCAAAAATCTTGATCCTATTTCGTTCGTTAGACTTGTTAATTATTATAAGTATAGTTTACGTGTTGGAATAGTGTTGTATTTTATTTTTTTTCATGTGGGTGCTACAAGTATGCTTCATGTTAAATTTGTTGAAAAATGTAACTGTTTTAAATAAAGAATTATCATCGAAAATTTTTCAAACAATTACAAAGAAAATTTAACAATTATTCTAATTTAGAACAATCAAATGAGTGTAATCTAATTCTAATATATGTGTTCATTTTTATATATTCAACTTAAAATTTCTATTAAAATTCTTTATTCTTTGTCTTTGAATGTATATATCAACATCATATCCAAACCTTGACATTTATGACTATTATTTAGTGTGTATTATTAATATTATGTAATACTGTAAATTTTAACGCAAATGTATTTTCTTAAGGATGAGATATGCAAATAATTTATTGATTCAATGTGTGGACAACTTTCCTTACACAATTAAACAACCCTACAAACTCAAATGCATAAACATAAAAAGGCCAATAAGTAAGAGTTCGTTGGGTAAGTATATGAAGAATTTTCCTTAAACAATGGTCGATAAACAATGTTTGTTGGCAAGAAATAAACCATGTTCCTAATGGTTTGCGGACAAAAAACAGGACCACCAAACCCTATTAATCAATGATTATATGTTAAAATATTTCATAAACATAATATATATATATATATATATATATATATATAT